AGGGCCCGACCATGGATCTCGATTCGGGTGGCCCCCTGGCTTTGGACGTCGGCACGAGGCTGAAGGACTTCGACGAGGTCCCCGCGGCTTTACTAGATGCTAAGTCTTGGAGGGGCGTCGTCGCTACGAGTGTCCAGGGCGGCCGGGGCAGCCTGGGTTTGGAAGCTGACGCTTTGGTGGTTGCCTGCGAGCACTTGCTCAGATCGTCGGCGTGTCGCGGGATGCGCGGTCTTGCCTTGGCCGATGACGTGCCGCGTTGTCCTGCTGTGGCGAAGGGTAGAGCTGCCTTCTCATATTGTCAGGTGCCTCTTCTAGAGATTTGCATGATGTGGCTTGCAGCGGGTGCGCGATTACACTGCCGATGGATCCCGTCAGAACGCTGCCCTGCCGACGCTCTGTCTCGAGGGCGGCGCGCCTGGTTTTCAGACTCTGCCGCCCGCGCCCGCCCGCCGCGGACAGGCCCCGCGGAAGGCGGGCCAGCCTGCTCCGGCGCTGGCGCGGCGGCGCCCCGCTGCAGCGGCCCAGACGCCGACGCTTCGGTGGCCCGCGCGCCGCCCGGCTCTGGCGGCTGTGGAGGCGCGGGAGCGGCGGGCAGCCCTTGCCGCGCGCCTGCAGGCCATGCGGCCGCCGCTGGGGCAGCTGGGCGCCCTGGGAACCATTGCGGCGCGCTCCAACGCAGAGGCGCAGCGTCGCAGGGTTCTGGAGGTGTTCGTCTCGTTCTGCTCCCAGAACCATTTGGATTGGAGGGGCTTCGGGCAGCTGGGCGCCGTGGCGACCCGCCCGTTTCTTGAACCGCCAGTTCGTGGAGTGAGCGCCCTCGAGCCACGGTTCGTTGCTGCTGGCTGCGTTCGCCCACTTATTGCCGGGCCTGCAGGGCTCGCGGCAGGCGCAGCCGCCGCGCGCCGCGAGGAGCTCGACGGATTGGGCGAGGAGGGTGCTCGCCATGACGAGGGCGCCCTCGCCGTGCTTCGCGGCCGCCGCCGGCCGCAAATGGACGAGCCTGGCAGCCGAATGTCCCTCCCGGTTCGCTGCCGCCGCTGCTGCTGCCCTTCCCCATTTAGCTGGGCAGTTTCACGGTGTAAGACTTGCCGAGATGATTTGTGATTGATTCCTCTCGCTTCGCAGGGTGCGCGTCCGGAGCGCGTGCAGTCCAATCGTTGCGGTGCCTCTTGGGAGCTGGCTTTTTGCAGGTGTCTTGGAGGCTTCTTGGGGCCTCTTCTGCGCTGGGCTTCTTTGAGGCCACGTGAGGCCTCTCGGGGGCGTCTGGGGCCGTCTTGGGGCGCTCTTGCGGCGCGTGGCCCGCTCGGGGGCCGGCGTTTAAGATGCGCGCGGTGCTCGGCAGTGTTTACGCGAGAAGTGGCGCGCAGGTCCCAGCGTGACAAGGCAGACTTGCTCTGCCCCGCTTGCTGGCGGGAAGAGCTGGCGCTGCGAAGCCGATCCAGACTGGTAATCGCCGCTGTGAGAGTGTTCAAATGTGGAAGGTGTGGGCGTTGGTTGGCGTGACCTGCTCGGCTGCCGCGCGTGCGCGCCGCTCCGTCCTGTCATCCCCCGGGCTTCTGGGCGGCTTCCAGGGGGGCTCTTGGGAGCCTCTTGGAAGCCTCTTGGGGGCCTCTTGGGGCGTCTTTGGGGCCGTCTTGGGGCCTCTCGGGGCTTCTTCTTGACGTCTTGCGCCGTCGTGGGGCGCTCTTGCGCCGTCTGGCCCCTTCGGAGGCACTCTTGGAGGCCTCTCGCGGCCGCCTTGGGGCTCTCTTGAAGTCTCCTTGGGCCGTCTTCGAGGGCCTCTTGGGCCGTCTTGGGGGCCTCTTTTGGCCGTCTCGGACCCTCTTGGGCCGTCTTTGGGGGCCTCTTGGGCCGTCTTGGGGCCTCTTGGAGGCTGCTTGGGCCGTCGCGGCCCGCGGGGAGCCGATGTCAAACAAATCCACAGGGCATCGTCGATTCTAGCTTCTGGAAGAGTTATTGGGGGTCCTCTTGGGGCGTTCTTGGGCCGTCGTGTGGGCCGCATGGGCCCCCTTGGGGCCATCTTTGGCCGTCCTGGGGCCGTCTTGGGCTGTTTTGGGGCCATCTTGAGGCCCTCGTGGAGTCCTAGGGGGCCCCGGAGGCCGATATCATATATTGTCCATGCATTTGGGTGCGTTTTTTCGCGCCACGGAGGGGGGGGGCAGTTTGGTACGGTCATGTGGCGCGGCTCCAGAGGGGGTGAATGGGGGGAGACATAATAATGTCGGAGGTGAGGGGGTGAGATCGAAGTGGAACGGAGAGCCCCCCTACCGGGAAATCGATTTCGGTTTCGTGTTCGTGCGTGCCGTGCGGGCGAGGCGAAGCTGCGTGGGCGGGCGAGAGGAAAGTCTCCTGTGGCTGAGGCGCGGCCGGACCAAATGATTCTCCACCGGGCGGCCGGTGGCGCGCGGTGTCCCGCCGGTGTCCCGCTGGTGTCCCGTCGGTGTCCCTGTGGCTGAGGCGCGGCCGGACCATATGTGTCTCTTCCGGGCGGCCGGTGGCGCGCGGTGTCCCGCCGGTGTCCCGCTGGTGTCCCGTCGGTGTCCCGTCGGTGTCCCGATGATGATGTGGATGATTATGATGGTGATGATGGCGATGCTGATGATGATGATGATGATGATGATGATGATGATGATGATGATGATGATGATGATGATGTTGATGTTGTTGTTGATGATGATGATGACGTCGATTGTGAGATCGATTGTGACCTCGATAGTGAGACCGAATGTGAGATCGATTGTGAGATCGATAGTGAGATCGATTGTGAGATCGATAGTGAGATCGATTGTATTATCGATAGTGAGATCGATAGTGACACCGAATGTGAGACCGAATGTGAGATCGACTGTGAGATCGATTGTGGGATCGACAGTGAGATCGACAGTGAGACCGAATGTGAGACCGATTGTGAGATCGATTGTGAGATCGATTGTGAGATCAATAGTGAAATCGATAGCGAGATCGATAGTGATATCGATCGTGAGATCGAATGTGAGATCGATTGTGGGATCGATAGCGAGATCGATTGAGTGAGGCGTTGGTTCCCCCTCCCCCCTCACCTCCTTATCACCCGCAGGGTGGTCGTATAGGTAACACAGTACGATATGTATCAATATGCAATAATGGAGTACATAAGATACGTTACATTATCGCCTTCGCAGAAAACCTGCCGCTCAGCACGTCATTTCCGGACTTGGAGTCTTGGGCTTACGCCGCGCCGCCGACCCTTTGGGGGGCTCCTGGTAAGTGTTTCGGGGGCCTCCTGGCAGCACTTTTGAAGCCTTTTGGGGTCGTTTTGGGGCCTCTTGGCGCCTTTTTGGGGCTTCTGGTGGGCCTCTTGGAGCTTCTTGGGGGCTTCTTGGAGGCCTCTTGGGACTTCCAGGAGGCTTCTTGAGGCCGAGGGCTGGACATTTCCGCTCGGGTCCCCCGCCTGGGCCCCCTCCTGGAGCCATTTTGGGGGCCTTTTGGGCTGTCTTGGGGCCCTCTTGGGCCGTCTTGGAGCTTTCTTCGGGGCTTCCTGGGCCGTCTTGGGGCGATCTTGGAGGCCTTTTGGGCCGTCTTGGACGTTGTGAAAGCCCAAGAGGCGAGTGTGCTAAAATCATACGTTTCCCCAAGGGAATGAAACGATTTTTGCTTCTGGGGGCCTTCTTGAGACGCCTCTTGTGGGCCTCTTGGGGCGTCTCGGGGGCCTCTTGGGCTGTCTGGGGGCCATCTTGGGCGTCTTGGAACGATCCATCGGCGACTCGGGGCCCTCTTGGACCATCTTGTGGGCCTCTGGGCCTCTTGGGGCCCTCATGGCCCGTCGTGGGGCCTGTGGCGCGATCAGCCGGGGCCGGCCGGACCCCCGCCCTCCAAACCGATTGGCCGGGCCCGGGGGGGGAGGGGTTTGGGGAGGGGGAAGCATCTCACACGCCGATGACCCCAAGGGGTCGGCGGATTTTTTGTCTTTGTGTGTGTCAATGTTTGGAAGCCCTGTGGGACTCTGGCCTAGCGGCCAGGCTGCCCTTTTGGGAAATGGGCGTAGTGTTCTGATGTGTCGTTTCTGCTCGCTTCGCGAGCCACGGAACTTCGGTCCCAGATTATTGTTGTGCCTCTCGAGCGTGCGCACGTCAAAGAAAGATGCATCCGCGCAGCTGTCGCTGACTGGCCGCCGAGGGAGCGAATGTACTGGCTGTTTTTGAATTGAGATCTGGAAGCGAGGAAGGAGCAAGCAGGCGGCCGCACCGATCCGCGGCCGACATGCTCAAGGTTCTGACCCGCCCTTCCCGCCCTTGTTCTTCCTCCCACTGTACAAATTGCTGTGCGTAGTGTGCTGATGTCTCGTTTATGCTCGCTTCGCGAGCCACGGAACCTCGGTCCCAGATTATTGTTGTGCCTCGCCGAGCCTGCGCACGTCAAAGGAAGATGCATCCATGCAGCTCTCGCTGAGTGGCCGCCGAGGGAGCGAATGTACTTGCTATATTTAAATATACACATACGTGCCTGTATGTATATGTGTGTGTATACAGAATTAATCCATGTATGCTGCTGTTTATGCTGACGACGCGAATGCTGGTGCTGACGGCGAGGAGGATGTGAAAAGAAGAGGAGGAAGGCGGACGACGAAGAGCAGGGTCGGAGTGGAGGAGGTGGAGGAGGATCAGGAGCAGGGGGGGGGATGAAAAGGGTCACGTTCCTCTTTCCTGCTCTTAATCCTCCTCCCGTCGCTCCCCACCCTCCTCGGCAGTTCTTCCTATTGGCGCGCTCGCCCCCGGCCGCTGCTGTCTGTCGTTCGCGCTGCCTCTCTTTCTCTCTCTCTCTCTCCCCTCCTCGCTCTGTCCGCCTCTGCCGCGGTGTGCGTTGTGCGCTAGCATGATATGAGTGGCCGTCTTGGCCGCAGAGGACCGTCGCGCAGCGCCCCTGCCCTTTTTCCTTTTCGTCCTTCTTCCCAGCCCGAGCGTGGATTGCATTTATTCGAAACCTTCCTGTCTGCTCTGCCGCTTGGTTCGCCGCGCCGCGAGGGCGCAGATGTTCGGCCTGACGCAGGTCAACATCGCCTTCTTCGAGTGGGGCTCCGTCTACAACAAGATCAACTCGGAGGCTCGCCCCTCCCGTTCGCCTCTCCCTCCTTTCCTTTCCTCGCCCCCCCCCCCCCAGAGATCCGACGCCCCGAAAAATCGGAAACGGCCGGTTCTCGGCCGTTTTCGGCCTCCAGGGACCTTTTGCCAGGCCTCGGGACCGTCAAACAACGATTCAGGACGAAACACCGGCCCTGGGGAAGTGGTCCAGACCTCCCGGGCCCACGCATCGAAAAGTTTGGAGCGGCCAGATGTCTGTGCCTTTCCCCTGCTGCTCCCAGTGTGTCTCCCGTCTACAATTACACAATATGAATCGTATTCTCTTCTCTCCCCCGATGACGTCCGGGAGATGTCCGGCCCCCCTCCGCGTATTGTTTTTTACTCACAGAATTCCCGGGCTTTGGGTTTTCGCTTGGTTTTTTGTTTCCGAAATGTTATTCCCGCTGAAGCGCTGGCCTCGTTTTCGGGCTTCCGCTCGTTCCGAATCGTGCTCCCGCTGCAGCGCTGGACTCATTTCCGCGCTTCCGCTCGTTTCGAATCGTGCTCCCTCTGCAGCGCTGGCCTCATTTCCGCGCTTCCGCTCGTTCCGAATCGTGCTCCCGCTGCAGCGCTGGCGTTATTATTTCCAGTGCTATGCCACGGCATGTAATGCAATGCTATGTGGTGTTCAACTATACGATGCCATGCCTTCAGCTGCAATGCTAGGACATGCGGTGCTTGACTACGCAGTGCCACGCCATGCTAATTATGCCATTTTACGCTTTGACTTTCAACGCCATGCTATGCCATGTTCTGTTCTGTGCCGCTGTGCGATGCCATTCTTTGCGTTGCAGTGCTTGGTGATGCAGTTCTTCACTACGCCACGCCACGCCATGCTATGACATACTACGCTCTGCCGTGCTCTTTACGCCCTGCTATGCCGTGCTCTACGATGCATCGCGCACCCTTTCGGGATCATTGCTCTGCTCGACATCCGACTCAGCGAATAGAGAGGAGATCTACGCCATGGTAAGGGATGGGAGGGAGGGGAAGGATTTCAGATATGACGCGACCTCACCTAGCTTGCCCCTTCTCTCCTCCCCCCTCTCAGCCTCCTCCCCTCTCCCCGCTTCCGCTCCCGCTTCTGCTCCTTCTCTTTCTTCTTCTTCTTCTTCTTCTCCTCCTCCTCTCCTCCTCCATCTCCTCCCTCCCGTCGCCATTTTGGCTCAAGTTCCAGACGTGCGTCCCTGGCGCCCATAGTTTGTGTGCAGCCGAGGGGGCGGCTCGAAACCCCCGTGCTTTCCAAGCGTGCCGTCCCGGGCGGGATAGCCTCTTTCAGTGAGCTCTTGCAGGAGCACTCCAGATCTTGTTCGGCTTCTCGTGAAGTGAGTCGGCATCACTGCGCCATGTGCAGGCGTCGCGCAGGCGCCGTGGGCGAATCACGTCAACTGAAGGGGGCGCGGGTACAAGTGGACGTTCAAAAACAAGGAGATCTGCTTCCACTGCAGCGCCACCTTTCGCTCCGCACCCTCGCCCAAGCCTCGCGGGGTGTGGGCCGCGAGTGGACGGGAGGGCGCGTGGGGCCAATCGTGGCGTGAGTCATTCCGTGATTGGGATGACGAAGCAGCAGGCGGTGGGACGCTGGGTGCCCCTTCGGGCCCTCTCGCCCCATCTCCGGCGTGGTCCGCTCCCTCGGTACCGCGGCGGCCTCGGAGGAGCAGCGGCAGGCTCCTCAGCAGCTGGAGGCTGCCTTCGCCCGTCCGTTGCCCGCCGCCGAGGCAGCGCTGCCTCGGGAGGGCATCCGGCGCGCCGCGGCGGTGGAGCGGGGCGCCGGACCCTCGAGCGAGCCTCCGAGCAGTTGGCGGGCGCTCGCGGGTGGCTCACCTATCGCATTGAATTGCGCGTCGTTGTCGTTGGCTGACCGTCGAGGCGTTTCCGCTTGCAGTTCACGCGTCGTTTGACGGGCCCATTGGTCTAAAGCTTTTCATGTGGGGGGCGGGGGTCGCTGTTCATGCGTTCAAATGTAGGTGGGCCACGCCGCCGACGCGTCCTGCGCCGCCCAGGCTGGCCGAGAGAAAGTGGATGCCGTGGAGGGGCACGGGGCCGCCGCGGAGGCGGCGCCCTCGCAGCCGCCCCCTGCGGCCCTCAGCTTCTCCAGCCTCTGAGCCAGCGAGGCCGACGGCATCCGCGTGGAGGACGGCCCGCTGTTCGACTTTGATGGCCTCGCCTCGAGGTCAGCCCCAAGCAGCGCGAGCGCTTCGAGATCCCCGGGAAGCAGGTGGCCGACCACGTCGAGGAGGAGGTGGCGTCGCATGTCGGCCTGGGCGCCCAGGCCTTGGAGGCCCAGCGCAAGCAGATGGAGGAGCACGCTGCGGGCCTTTCCAAGAAGCAAAGGCTCGAGGGCGAAGGCGATGCAGATGGCGGCGTGGCAAGGCCAGCCACGGGCGGGGCCCCACCTCCAGCAGGAACCGCAGCGCCTGCGGCGGCCACGGGAGCGGCGAGCAGCGCCAGAGGCTCGCCAGCTGTCAGCGCGGCGGGCGCGGGCGCCGCTGACGATGCTGGCGCTGTGGGGCCTGGAGCTGTGGCAGATGCCCGTCCGCAGCCGCCCCGTGGGAGTTCGAGGCCGCCCTTCGGCGGGCCCGTGGCCGTGGAGGGATCAACCAGCCTGTGCCGGGCTCCTGGCTTCTTGAACCTGCCGACCGAACCCTCCACGCTCCCTCCCGCAACCCATGTGCCCCGCCAGATCTCGGCCGACGCCTCTGCACTCACTCTAGCGACCCATGGTCTTCTTCGGAGTGACGCATGGAGAGGGGGAGGTACAGAGCGCGCCAGCTACGGTAAGAGCGGCGCGTGGCCAGGAGAAACGAGGGCTGCTCCTGGTGGCGCGACAGTGACTGGACTTTGTGGTCCTTTTCATCATCGTCGAGCAGTCCAGATTGTTGCCCCCCTGTGGCGCCTCCGGCACCGGCGCCCAGACGTCCTCTCCCTGGGCCTGGGGCCCGCGGCGCCTCTGCCGCTGGGCCGTGCCAGCCCCGCGCAGTGCATGGGCTGCGCGTGGGGCCGCGTCTCTGGCGGGGCCGTCGAGGCCGCGGACGTTCAGAACAAGACCAAACCTCCACGCCAGATTGGGCGCGGTGGTGCTCGCGTCCCAGGCCTCCAGTTGCTCGGCTTCATCTGCTCGGCCTGGGCTCAGGCCATCGACGTCTTCGACGAATGCGAGGGCAATGAGCTGCCCGACCCGCTGAACATCGCCTTCCTTCAAGATCCCACGCTCGCAGCGCCGATCTCGTCGGGCACAGAGGCGGCCAGCTCGCAAAGGCACTGCGCGGCGGCCCTTGTTCCAGCCGCCGCAGGCCAGGGTGGCGACCAACTGGCGGGCGTCGGCTTTCTCGTGCCGCCTGCGATCGGACGAGCGTTCCCGGCGGGCTGGCATAGCTTCGATATCTCGTTGGCGTGGTCGGAGGGGCGAGCGGCGGCGGGCGGATGCTCGGCGGCGCAGAAGGGTGGCATCATGATCGTAGCGGCCTACTTTTGAACGCGCAGGGGGCGTGCCCTTCTCGGCTCGTCTCTCTTGGGTCGCCGCTGTCATCGAAGAGTGTGGATCTTGCAAGCTAATTCTAATGGCACGGGGCAGTCGTTGCTAGACATGGGGCGGTTCGAGGATGTCTGATGCGCTGTGGTTGCCCCGCGATCAGTAACCTTTTCAACCTGTTCGGTAGTGGGCGGCGGCGGCGGCGGCGTAGATTTCTTCGTCGCGGGCGCCCGATGTCGGCTCGCCTTCCCGAAGCGGCGCATGTCTCCGACGCCTCGGCCTCTCCTCGGCCCCCCATCTTGCTTGCCGTGAAAACCCCGGGCGCGTGAGGAGGCGGGGCGGCAGTTGGCCGAGTCGCGCCGCTGCCCCCCTGCAGAGGCCGATAGGCCCTTCGCCCCAGCCCGCGCGGTGGGCCCAGTTGCGCCGTCAGGATGACTCCTCGCCCGCCGAGCTGGTGGCCGCGCCGAGACTGAGCTCGCGGGCCCCCCGGGCCAGGAGGGGCCGCGGGCCGCGGGGGGCTCGTCTCCGCCCGGGGCAGCGGCCCACGAGCGTCGCCGAGGATGGGCGCGGCGTCTGGGGCTCGCCGCGTCCGCGGCCCTCGCGCAGCTGGGCGTCGACGTCGCTGGGGGCGCGGCGGCGCGGGCTCGCCGCGGGGCGCTTCGGCGGTTTATGTTGGCCAAGAAGCGCGACGCCGAACTGCGCCCCCTCGGCGAGCGGGGGGGGGGCGCCCGGCCCGAGCGGCGCGTCGGGGCGTGATCCCCGCGGTCGCCCATGGGGCGAGCGTCCTCGGGGGCGCGCGGGCCGCGGTCTCTGGCGGCCTGCCAGGGGGTGGCTGCGCGGGGCGCGATCGCGCGCTCAGGTCGCGGGCTTGCCGGGCGGGCCCGGTCGCGGGAGCCTCCTGGCGACTCCTGAGGTGGGAAAGGGGTATGGTATACAGGGGTGCGGCGGTAATTTTATGTTAAGGGGAATCTGGCGATGTCATCGCAGATGGCATCGCCATTTCCGCGATTGGAACCATTCTCCCTTATGCTGCGCCTCTTCCCCACGGGCGCGTGTTCCAGCCGGGCCGGGAACGGAGGTCGCGGGGCTGGCGCGGCCCGGGCCGGGCGGCGTGCGGCCGCGCGCCAGCGCCGTCCGTCGGACAGGCCTTGTGCGCAGGTCTGGGGGCCTGCCTCCGCTTGCCATCTCGCGCTGCAGCGCCTGGGCTGGGCGCGCGGTGCACGTCCTGTCTTCGCGCGGGGAGATGCGCCGACGCGCGTCGGGCCGCCCCCAGCGCGGCGCGGAGGTGCGTCGCGCTCCGGCGTGGATCTCAGGAGCTGGCCGACTGGCCCGCTCGCAGTCGGATGCCGCTCCGCTTTCCTTGCGCCCGCGCCGCGCTCAGGTATGCTGTGGAGAGGCGAGGGCAGCGGAGGGCGGCTGCGATGGCTCATTTCGGAAACGGTTTCTGCGCCCAGGGCAAGGCGTGGCGCGCTAGATGCTCGGGCGATCGCGCGCGTCAGCAGTGCGGGTGC